AGTTATCCGTTTGTTAATGTGGTCACAGAAACGTACGCTTTAGGCATTAGTTAGCACAGCTTTAGCATTTTAGCTTTGTTAGCTGCAGCTGCAGGTTGTTATCCAGTGAAGAGAAAAGCTTAACAGATGACATTGTTGTGTATGTAAACGTGATTTAGATGATGGCTTAAGTAGAATTGTTAAAGTAGACTTTAACGGGACTTTTCGTTCAGCATTAAAGTTGTTGAAACAAGCAGTAATTGCGTTAGCTCATGTGCTTTGTCTTTTTTAGCTACAGCTCTTGCTTTTAATTGCTTGAAATCAAAAATGTTTGTTGTTTCCACTGATTGGGTATTTGATGCAGTAACCCTCTGCCGTGGCTGATATCAGAACGTATATCAGACAGTAAAGTGATCGTTTGAAGGCCATGTCAGTAAAACAAACTCCGCCGTGTGTCTGAACAGGTCTTGTGCCACTTGAAAATGAGAGCGCTTCATCCACCTCACCACAGCTGGACTCAGACATGAGAAGAGGATGACTGAGGATGGAGAGGACGGCCCCCTCCATCACTCCTGTGAGGCTCCTGGTAAAGGAGACTCAATTGCCAATGACAGCAGCAAACTCAATACCTCCATAGTAGATGTAAAATCCACCAACGGGCACAAGGATGACCTTAGGCTTAGAAACACAGGGGAAGGGATCAGTCCGTATCAGCCCCGCCCCCCCTTGCTACCCAGACTGTCGAAGTCCAGCAAAAGCATTTCATTGGAGGAGACTGTGAGAACCAGGAGGCTGAGAAACAGCCAAGAGAGTCTGAGCGACCCAGCTGAGACCGGCTCCTCCACAGACTCGCTTAAAGAGGATGAAACTGTTGTAGCTCCGAGTGGGTTCGTTATCCAGGGTACAGCTGCAGTGAGGAATGAGCGGGATCCCAGTGCGAGACCCCATTCTGCTGTTCCAACTGGATCCCCAGCCTTCCGGGACAGAGGGAGTAGTCTTTCTGACTATGAAAGGAGACCCCGCAGCCAGCAGAGCGACCTTACAGTCCAGCAGTGGAGGGCCGCCAAGGTGCGTCTGTCTCCGGTGCAACCCACCGGACCACTGCCTGCTCTGGAGAAGAGCTTTGCGTCAGCCACTTTGAGGGCAGCTAATAGGATTGACAGGGATTGTTTGGATTATGCCATGCCGGCCAGAGAGAAGCTTGGAGAAAGGCTCCACAGGAACCTGAGCGACAGCCGGCTTTTGGAGAACATGGGGTCGGATAGTGCCTCTGTCAACTCCATGAGGTCCACCTACAGCGTACTCAGCCCCATCAGACCGCAGGATATGAGGAACAGGTAGGTTTAGCAGGTAATATAAAGATGCACCTGTAGTCATCATCCTTGTGCTGGATTTGAAGGCTCTATTGTAAGATGTCGTGTAGATTAAAGTAACTGCACTCAGCTTCCTGTTAAACTATAGTTACTTACCAGTCTCTTTCAAGGGTATTAAGCTAGTGACACTTAAAAACAAAAGAAGTAAGATGGGGTGTGTTTTTGTTTTGTTTTTGTTTTTTTGTCTGGATGAGCCCTTTCTAAGCTCACCCACTTTATACTCATATTACCCTTTTATCTTTCCTTTATTACAGTACACTTTAGCTCCAAAACCCCCACGCTCCCCTGCAAGCTGTGTTAGATTTAATTCATCTTTCATCATTCATCTTTCATTCCTCTTTCAAAACTAAATTTGAAATGTTTACACGTTAGTCTGCGATACTTTGTGGTAAAGAAATCAACATCTGAGCTGCTTTAGCTAAAAATGCACAAATAAGAATAAACAGCCTCCATTACTGGAGCAAAGAAGAATATAGGTGTGAGGAGATTCAGCAGGGTTTTTGACAGGATGAGTGGTAAAATGGTTCTTAGTCCACTGCTTTAATACTTATAAAGATGAATTATTGACCTGACCATAGAGATAGCAGCCTTACAGCTGTGATTAAACTCGATATATGTGCTGATTTTACTTTTCGTCATCCAGGAGTTTTATGGAGGGCAGCGTGCTGGGTAGTGGTGCCTTGCTTGGGGCTGAGGAGCTGGACCGCCTCTTCCCCGACAGGAGAGTTGGCATCTACATCGCCACTTGGAACATGCAAGGAGAGAAGGTGGGAGGATGTTGTGACCTGCAGCATCTCTCACAAAGGTTTTTCTGATGGAGAAACTGAATCATAACCAAATTCCTGCCATTTTCAGGGCCTTCCAGTCAACTTAGATGATCTCCTCCTTCCGACAGACTCTGAATTTGCACAAGACTTTTATGTTATTGGGGTCCAGGAGGGCTGTCCTGACAGGTGGATCATTTAATGTTTTAAATAAAAGCCGGTTATTATGATGAATTACTCCGTAATGGCTCTCATTTTCCGCTTACTAATATGTAACTTTGTTTGTGTGCAGGAGGGAGTGGGAGACCAGACTTCAGGAGAGTCTGGGACCTTACTACGTCATGTTATATGCAGCTTCACATGGTGTTTTATATCTCACTGTATTTGTCAGAAGAGACCTCATCTGGTTCTGCTCAGGTCTGTCCTACTCTACGTATTAGTTCAGGAGGGATGGTGATTATGAAATGATATTTCTAAATTGCTCATATTTCTGTGGTGACTTGTGTATTTAATAGCATGTTGTCTTAAAGACAGGGTTTCTGGAGGTATTAAATGATTAAAATTGATTTCTTGTTCCTCAAAACAGGCTTTAAAAGGTTTAAATAGTCTTTAATTCAGATAGGTCTTTTATACTGTTGAATTAATTTTCTTAACTAATCAATTATTTGAGCTTTAAAATCTGAAAAAAATAATCAAAGCTAAGCTGTGAATGTTTAGTTTTCTAGATTAAACCTTTCTATAATATACTTAAAATGCTGTTTACAAGTCGATATGAATATCAAAACACTTGAAAAGATCCTTTAGTTTCAACTTACAACTCTCTACTGATATCCTTGTTGCTTTGGATGAAATGCTCCACCTACTATAACTGGCCAGAGGATTGTGACAAGGATTTTGTTGTAGTGACATGTTGATTTGTGTGCACAGACATGAACCACCTGAAAAGCGCTATACAAATACACGCCATTTACCTTTCTTCTTCTTTATTTTTTTGCACAGAGGCGGAGCACGCCACAGTCACAACGAGGATCATCTCGCAGATCAAGACCAAAGGCGCAGTGGGGATTGCCTTCACCTTTTTTGGCACTTCTTTCCTTTTCGTTACTTCCCATTTTACCTGTTAGTAGCAGCTTTTCCAAGTCAGAGAAGCTTTTTTTTACACTGCACATTAGTGTATTGCATTTAAACCCTACAGCCGGCCAATGTTGCATATTTCTAATGTGTTTTTCTGTTTTTCTCCCAGCCGGCGATGCCAAAGTCTACGAGAGAATACTTGATTACAACAAGATTGTCGAGGCTCTAGCTCTTCCAAAAGGCCTTCCAGATACCAACCCGTACCGCTCCACACCATGTAAGACTCTCTGAAGCTACTTTGTGTGAATAATTTAAAATGTTAAAGCTATTTGGATGGTTTATGCATCAGAATACTTAATCTTTTAAAGATGTAACAGTATAAAAGTGGCATGCATTCATTCTGATAAGACAAATAATCTTAAAACATTGCATTCATTTTCTAATTGTCCTTCTTTTTCAATCAAATCACAACATGATTGATTGCAACAACTGTAATTAGATTAAACATTCCTAGACACCTAGGTTTAGGATTATTTGCAGGAGGAGGGAATAAGCGGTCTGGCTAATGTACAGGAAGGTTTTTCTCTATAAATATAACAATCTATTTTTGTATTTGTTTCCATGGCCATCTTTGTACCAGCAGTTACTGATGATCTATATATGGTTAAAATTGTGGTTAAAATCTTAGTGCTTATAACACTAATTGCCAGTATTCAGTGAAAATTGATGGAATATAATTTTTCACTGCAGCTGACGTCACTACAAGATTCGATCAGGTCTTCTGGTTTGGAGACTTTAACTTTCGGCTGGATAAAGACCGGAGTGAGGTGGAGGCCATCATAAGCTCCACAGTAGGTGGCGATATGAGCCCTCTTCTGGAGCACGATCAGCTCTCCAAGGAAATGAAGGAAGGTATGCACATAGGAAGCCAAAGCGTCAACATTTGCAAAAACTCAGAAAGTTGATTTTGTTCATCTGGACGTCGCGCTTTCAGTGGGAGAAACATTTTGTCACTTCAGACTGAAAAAGTGGCTTGGCTGAGTGATGAAAATGATTTTCCCACAGGAAATGCAACGACTGGATGAGCAGAACAAACTTTCTTGGATTTTCTTCCCTACATGATTTTTTATGCATCTAAACAGTTGCAAAAGTTCTTATAGAAATAGGTTGTTGTTTTCCATTGATTCTTATCCTGTGAGTTGTTTGTCCCTCCAGGGTCAATCTTTAAAGGTTTCCAAGAGGCATCAATACACTTCTTACCCACGTACAAATTCGACATTGGTCGCGATGTCTATGACACCACTTCTAAACAGAGAACACCTTCATACACAGTAAGTAGAACAAAGACGTGTCGCACATGACAAAAGATAAACGCCTTAAGTTTTTTAAAAACACTTTGTCATTTCTATTAAAGTGGCTCTCAAACGCATAGAACCTCTCTGTGTTCACAGGACAGGATCCTATTCAGGAGCAGGCAGGCTAATGACATAAAAACACTCATGTATACCAGCTGCTCGAACATCAAGACCTCGGACCACCGGCCTGTCATTGGTGTCTTTCAGGTCAAACTCAGGCCAGGAAGAGACAAGTGAGTCCCACTAACATTCACACATACACCTTAGTGCTGTAGTCCTTTCCAATTAAATTTAATTTCACATAAAGTTGGAACTTAATAGCCTGAAAGAAGGCGAAAGTAAAAGTTGCCTTTTACTATGACCTATTTGACTGAGAGCCTTCACTCTCAGCGGTGTCACGTTTGGGCCTAGCACTTGTTTCTAGAGAGTCACTGGTGTAGGCTTTCTGGCATGTGTGGAGACTTATTGAGATTAGGCGCTGGCACATGGTCTAGGGAAAAGTAACACAATTTATGAAGTAATATGTTAGATCAGATTCAGATGGGATTTTTAATGACACCAAATCACAGTAGTAGTCAGTCTCAAGCTCTTTGTATTGTAAGGTTAAGAACTCTGCATCAGTAGAAACCCAAGAATCTCCTTTGACAAAGCATTTAGAAAATAAAGGAAGAAAAAGTCATCCCCAAGCAGAAGCAGCCTTGAGAAGACAGAACAGAGTAGAATAGAGAGAGAACGAAACACAAACAGGATGAAACTACGTGCAGCAGTGACATATAAAGGGGGAGAGGAAGAGAGTCCCCCAGAGGCTCCAGGCTTTAGTGATGTAATAAACTGTGCTGTCGTGGATTTTCGTAGGTAGTGCAAAGGTTATCATTGTGAAAGAATCCTGACAATCTTTAGCTGTGGTCACAAAACAGTAGCTCTGTGTCATACAAATTTGATGGCCTACCCAGGTTTATTAAGTTCATGTTGCACTGTGTGGGTTGCAGTTAAATTAAAATGTTGCTGAAATATTACAATGCAAAAATCCATGCCTTAAATGATGGTTCTTTTTCACTGGACTGCAATTGATCATTTGGTAAACGATCAGTTGTGCTTTATGCATTTTGACTTTCTAACACCTGTAATGTTGTATTTGCTTGTATTTTTGTCAGCATTCCTCTGTGTGCCGGACAGTTTGACCGAAGCTTGTACTTGGAAGGTATCAGGAGGAGGCGGATCACCAGAGAAATAAAGACAAAGGAGGCCATGAAGAACCAAAGCAGCACGATCTGCACCATCTCTTAAAACCCATTAAGGAACACTCTGGACCAGATCAGGCTGGATTGGATCAGACCTGTGCCAGAAACAGGAAGGCCAGAAAGGACAAAAAGGAAAAACCAAAGTTGTCTTAACTACACAAATCCCAGCTGTGGTCGAGGTAACTGAGGTGCAGCTGTGTCCCGAAGAAGCTGGCTAGACTCGAGGGCAGGGATCTCGAGGTCATGCAGATATCAGCGTTCTGGCCTTTATTTATTCTGCCCCCTGTACCCAAACATAACTAGGGAAGGGGGGTCTCCCTTTGTGGCTTAAAGTTCAGTCACATGCTCCAGTGTGGACTGATAAGACCTTACAGACAGTAACAATACCTATTTTCTCTCTATTTTTTGTAGCCGTTTAAGAAGCATCATATACTATAATACTCTGTTTTTCTGAATGCTATACCAGTGTTCAAATGCCTTGTGATTTTTGTCATGAAGTAATGTACTAAACATAACTACAGCACACTTTTAGGTGTCCGTTTTGTTGGAGAGTTTTGAGGATCAGGTCAAATATAGACTCTGAGGAGCATGTTGCACCTTGTTAAGAGCTACTGTTAAATTCAGGGAAATTACAGTTATTTGATGCTTTTATTCAATATTTCTTAGGAACTCACTTGCTATAAAAAAAACGTTTGAGCATTTTAATGATATTACTACTATATTACTACCATTATTGCTACCTTTTGTGTGATTAGGCCAAGTGAACCTTTGCAACACTAAACGCAATGCCTTACCTCTCATCTTATTACTGTGTAAACTGTCCATGTACTGTATGTAGCAGCACATTAATCATCTGCATTCCCAGCATGAAGCGCATTCTGTTTTTTAAAAAAAGTGCCTGTGGGTATTGTTTTTACATCATCGGGACCTCTTATCCACAACTATATCTTTTTATGTCATCTGATGTAACATCCCATAATAAAGGTTTGAAAACACCTTTGTTTGTTGGATACATTTTGCCCATAACAGATGTATTTAAGTGTGGGGGAGCACAATGTGTTGCAATGTTATCAACTTAATATAGTAGTTATAATACTGTGTTAAATCTAAGGTGAAGCTGAGCACCAGCTTCCAGAGCTTAAAGATGAAGCCTGTGTGGGAATCCCCAAAACTGCAGTTTCTCCAATGGCCACTTGAGGGTGCTTCTTAAACTGAGTCAAAAATAGTTGTCCCTTTGTCACTACCAAAGGTTAAAGTTAGGGGCATGATGTACAGGCTTACAGCCTCTTGTCAACAATCATGTAGTAAAAAGAAAGTGTGAAATAACTCATGTTTTATAGTCTAGATTCTTCAAAATAGCTATTCTTTTCTTTGATTACTGCTCTGCACACTCTTGGCATTCTCTTGACGAGCTTCATGTGGTAGTCAGCTGAAATGGTTTTCCACTTGTTGGCCCTTTTCCCATCACTCTGCAGTCCATCAGATCCCAACCCATCTAGACTGGGTTTAGGTCAGGTGACTGTAAAGGCCATTTGGTGCAGCACTCCATCACTTTCCTTCTTGGTCAAGTAGCCCTTACGCAACCCAGAGGTGTGTTTGGGGTGACTGTCCTGTTGAAAAATAAATGATGGTCCAACTAAACGCAAACCTGAGATGGGATGGCATGTTGCTACAAGATGCTGTGGTAGCCAATCTGGTTCAACGTACCTTCAGCTTTGAAAAAATCCCCAACAGTGTACCAGCAAAGCACCTCCAATCCATCACACCTCCTCCACGCTTCACAGTGGGAACCATGCATGTAGAGACCATCTGTTGATCTTTTCTGTGTCGCAGAAAGACACAGCAGGTGTAACCAAAGATCTCAGATTTGGACTCGAGCAGTCTCCTCTGAACAGTTGATGTAGAGATGTGTCTTCCACTGACTCTGTGAGGCATTTATCTGGGCTCTAATTTGAGGTGCTGTTAACATGATTTTCTGAGGCTGGTGACGCAAATGAATTTATCCTCAGGAGCAGAGGTGACTCTTGGTCTTCCTTTCCTGGGGTGGTCCTCGAGAGTTTCATCGTAGCGCTTGATGGTTTTTGCGACTGCACTTGGGGACACATTCAAAGTTTTAGCAATTTTTCGTACTCACTGACCTTCAGTTCTTAAAGTAATGATGGACTGTTGTTTCCCTTTACTTAGCGGACTGGTTCTTGCCATATTATGAATTTTAACAGTTATCACAGCTGTTAGCTGTGTACAAACCTTACTTCTGCACAACACAACTGATGGTCCCAAACCCATTGAGAAGGCAAGAAATTCCACAAATGAACCCTGACGAGGCACACCTGTGAAGTGAAAACTATTTCAGGTGACTACATCATGAAGCTTATTGAGAGAAGGCCAAGGTTTGCAGTGTTGTCAACAAAGAAAAGGGTGACTACTTTGAGGAATTAGGGTGACCAACCATCCTTTTTTTTGCACTTGTTGACTTGTAAAAGCCTATATGATATTTTTTATTTTACCATTCATTAACGGCACAGAGAAGGCATTGTTTGAATATGTTAACGTTTTCTTTAAGCAAACAGTATTATTAAAGTTCTTCATGACTGGGCCAAATGTCCACTTTTTGGGAAACCAAAATATGGTCACCCTACTAAAATATAAAACATATTTAGAGTTAATTATCTGCATTTCTTTGCTTCATAATTCTATATATTTTGTTTTATATATTTGATGTCTTCAATGTGTATCTACAATATAGAAAGTGGTAAGAACAAAAAAAACAACATTAAATGAGAGGTTGTGTTCAAAGTTTTGAGTCTTAGATTGTGCGTTTCTGTGAGAATATCCATGAAACACAGACAAAAAAATAATCAAGTCAACATATGTAGACAATCACTGCAAGTCAAACACTCAGACTATAACCTGCTTTTTCTATTCTTTGCCCTTATGTGGTCGTCACACAGCTGTGGCTCCTCATAACCAATGTGATTTGCAAAGCCTTCAGCGTAACAGTAAAAACAAACACCACACTTGTTTAACCATCTTTTTACTGTACAATACACGAATCACAATTTCAGTCTGGAGGACAAGCAGTCAAGTCAGTGACTGATCCAAAAATCTCCATTTTGTTTTTAATCATATATTATGTAACTTTCTGCTGTCTCCGTACCTATAAAAGGACATTATGAAGTCTTGTCGTATAAATAACAGTTTAATCCACTGACTCTGGAATAAAGAATTTTTAGAGAGCTGCGATCTGCAAAGAAAGTAATGGTGGAATAAAAAAAACGAAAGAGTTTTAGGGGCATCCAGAACACAGTCTACTCTGAGTGGCTCTGTGACACTGATGGGGTTTTTAAATGGGAACCTTACATGATAATTTTGTGTTTCTTTAAAAGCAAACTCCTGCAAACCTCCCATAAAAATAATGAATTATTGACTTCCTGGCAACAAAACAAAAATACAGTTGTATACAGACTAGGATTACTGTAGAGTACAATGTGTCATTTCTTTAAAATCACCCCTTCTCTCAGAGGTATTTGTCACCCTTCACAGTAAGCTGTGGTGATTTCCGTGTTCGGAGGGAACACTAGTGTAATCTTCAAGTCCAGTTTATGTAAAGTGATGATGCGGGTCTATCTGAAGAGGCGGTATGTGCGGGGCAGACGTCCGTCCTTGCTGGACAAGGCGGCCTGGATGTGTTCGTACGAGGGCAGCTCCATGAGATCTCCAAGCGCTGCGACAGCTGGCTTACTGCGCAGCATCTTGGTGGTCACTCTTTTAATGTCACCAGGTGTCACGCTGCCTGAAAATTATTTGAATATTATCGTCACATAAATTTAGATGACTTGCAAAGAAAATAACACAAAAATCCTTCCAGTACTCACTTATTAGATGACAGAGCTCATGTGGCAGCTTTCTCTTTCCTGTGGAGAGAACCTGACGACCAACGTCTTCAAAAATAACCGGCCGTGATTCAAGGTTCATCATCAACATGGACTTCAGCTGAGTCTTTGCCCTCTCCAGCTCCATCTGGGCACATAAGGGAAATTTATTAAAAGAACTGTGTAATTTTTATTCCGCTAAATGATGAGGACAAAGCTTGTGGCGATCATTACCTCTCCTGCACTGCCGCCCATCTGAATGAACTCTCTGGTGATTATTTCCACCATTTCTCTCACCTGGAAATGAATAAATGAAATAAGAAATAAGAAAAAGAACCACAAAAAACATGACAAACTATTCACTGGAGGTGAACTTTTCCCAAATATACACTCAGCTCCTTACAGGGACAAAAAAGCAAGAGCACATTACCCATTCATCCTCTCTTTACTGGCTTCCTGCCACTTTTAGAATTTAGTTTTAGATTTTATTGCTTGTTCTTAAGTCTTTGACCTTTGCCCCCTTTTTTTTATCTAAGCCTTTAAGCATCCACCTTCAAGTTAGGGCACTAAGGTTTTCTAATCAGAGGATTCTGGATGTTCCCAGGACAAGGTCAAAAACAGAGGGGATCGGGCCTTTCCAGTTGCAGGCCGTGTCCTGTGAAACCACCTACCCCAGAGCACCAGAGCTGCCAAAGCCTCATCAGAAAAAGTTTCAAAATTTAATTGAGAAATTTGTTACAGAATCCTAACAGATACTCTGCAGCTGTCCTGTATTGAGACTGTACCAACCTGTCTGGGGTCTGCACTAGCATGGATACACAGTAGGCCGCTGTCCTCGTAGCTATGATGGTAGGAGGTGGCGTTGTACATCCAATGATGTCTACAACAGATAACAAAAATTTAACAGTCGGTGACGACTAATTGGAATAGTTTTAGTACAATTTTCTTGTGAGACGCTCACCTGTTAAGGACGTTCAGGTACAGTCGGGTAAACATGCCTTTCCCGGGTCCTCCTGCAGAGAAGGAGCCGCCTCCACCCATCATCATGTTGAGCACAGCGAATGGGATAAAGTCATCCTCCTGTAAAGGGAACATTTTTACCCTTTAACATGTCTCAGGCCCCTGATTGGAGACTTTCCAAGACACTGCAAACACCCACCAGGTAGGAGCAGCTCTCCAGGCCGATCATGATGTGGGTAAGTTCTGGGATGGGGGTGGGGCCAAGGCTCACGTCTGACATATCCTTCTCCATCTAACAGAATAAAACACAATGTCCAACTTTTAAAGATCCGTTAAAAAGATCATTTGCTTTCTCCAGCAGAACGGAGGAATAATAACAAAAACAGGTATCTGCCAAACTGTGATTTTAAACAGAGCCTGGTTAATCACCTTGACGATGCCACCAGTGTACTGTGCTACAGAGAGGTCCACGTTGGGCGCTGAACTCGTTCCCCACACTGGTTTTACGTCCAGCAGGTATTTCCTGGCACTTTCGACCAGCTGCTCGTGCTCGATGCCCACTCCTGCCAGCACCATGCGCTCTGGACGGTAATAGTTACGCAGGTAACTGTGAAGCACATTCTTGTCAATCTTATCCACATTTTCTGCAGGACAAAAACGAGGCAGTCCGACTGTGTTGCCTCGATACGCAGCCTGGAAACAAAACAACAAAGAAGGGTCACATATAGATTTAAAGATGAAAACAAACTAGGACTACTCACCATTGAGTTTGACATTAATGAGGTCAGAATATCTAAAAGTAATCCCTCTGACCCAATCAGACTTCAAATTACTCCAAACACTCATTTTCATAATTTTTGCCACTCCTGACTCTGTATGATATCAACAAGAGCGAAGCTCCTTAATGTGATTAACCCTGACATACAGAAGCCTTTTTCACTCCTTGTTCAAATCTTCTGTTTGCACGAGGCCTCCAATAAGAAGAAATTTGGCTTAAAGGAAGGGTGGACTCAAAGAGGGAAGAAGCAAAACAGCTTGGTTCAGACTGTGAGTGAATGGAGAGGCTGCACAAAAGCTCAGCTAAGGCAAATGGATCGTTTTGGACTGTGAATCATGCAAAGTTACTCTATCAGAGTAGAAATGAGCATTGAAATTTTGACAGTGGATTTTGGTTTCATTAGTAATTCACTGATTAATAAGAAAATGGGATGAATGGCTGGATGGACTAGCTAAGGAATAATGAGGCATAACTCACAGCATGGATCATCTCAGTGAGTAATGGCTCAGGATCTGGCCTCATGTTGAGATCTTCTAACTCAAAGCGCACCGCCATTCTGGTCATCTCGAGCTCTTCATCTGCACACAAAGAAACAGTTTGTATTACCGGTGGAGACTCTTGGACCGTTTGTGAGGACTGACCCTAAATTATATGTCCTTACCCAGCAGGCGAGGCTGTAGAACAGCATCAGACAGAAGACTGACCACTGTGTCCAGACCTTTCACTTCAGCAGACACTGCATACATTGTGGTGTCTCTGCAAAGCAAAACAACCAATCAACACACCTCAAATCAGCTGTGTGTTGTTTGCGTTTATCATTACATCATTCCACACTGAGACGGGAACTGTGTTAAATACCTGGATGTCTGGCAGTCACAGATCCCCCCGTGTTTCTCTAACGTAAGAAGGATTTCATCTTTACTCCCATACTGTGCTGTGGACTAAAGACATAAATGTTGTTGTCAGGTTTATTGCTCGCACCTCCACCTTTTTGGTCTTTTTCATTGGATTTTATTTAATACTTACAGAAAATGCAAGTTTTTCTAAGAAGTGTGCAATCCCACTTGGATACTTTGCTTCATGTCTGGATCCCGAATTAACCAAAACTAACAAAAGGAAGAAAGAGAGAGAATCTCACTTTATCCAGTTCTTGCAGGTGACAAGGAACTGTGAATATATCAGCACATCAAAGACACAACTTACCTCCAACTGTGCAGAATTCACCAAACTTGTTTTGGGAAGCAACTTTGAGGCCATTTTCTAGAGTGGTAATCTTGGTCTCATATTTTTCCTGACCATCCACTGAAGCGAACACTGGTTTGGGGATCCCAGGCAACGGTGTAGAGAGGGAGATATTTGGGTATCCGCCACCACTGCTGTATTTCCGGTAAGCTGCTATCCCATACCTTGGATGACAATAAAACAACTGCTATAAAAAAAAAAACCTCATCAACTTTTAAAAGCTGAATTTCAAAAGCCAACTTTTGAAAAAACTGCAGCTTATACAACATGACCAATAAATATTAACATTGCTGGGTTTAATTTTTGTACAACCTTTACATTGTACACAGCCCTTCTAGCCACAGCTACTTTAAAGACCTCACCAATTAGTCTTCTGACAAACAATGTGCCAATACAAAAATAAAAACAAACAGTACAACAAACAACAATGGAGACAACAGTGACTAACACAAATACTGACAAACTTCATAGAACAGCTAAGAAGACATATTTTAGAGATTTGGCCTTAAAGTTTAAAATCAGTTCATGTTTTTATCTATGGTGGCAGAATGTTCAACACCTTTAAATGTTAAAGAGGACTGACCATTTTGTTACCTTCTTACTTTGCATTCTGCATCAATTCACTTAAATTCAATTCAAATGGTGCCAATCCACAACAGTAACCTCAGGACATTTTATACTGCAAGTTAAAGACCCTAAAGTATTAAAAAGAAACCCCAAGAATCACATGACCCCCTATGAGCAAGCACTTGGCAACAGTGAGAAAAAAAATAAAATCCTTTAATAATACAGTATAGATACCAAATGGATATGCTATCTATAAAATTCGCAAAGCTTAAATATCAAATGTCTTCAGAATTTTACAATAATGATACTACTACTACTAATAATAATAATTGTACTGGCATCTTGTCCAGTACTTTAAAGCCTTGTTTGTCATATGCTCTCTTTTTTGGCAACATGTTACTGTTACACAACAGAAAAGCTGAGACAAAATAATATCGTGACGTGCAGACATACCTGAGCGGGCTAAGATCTTACAAGCTGAATCATTCAACTAGAGGAAAACAATCTGCATCAGAAACTACTGAACATCCATTATATATGGCAGTTGCTTGAAAGAGGCCTGTCCTCTTAGTGTCAGGCACAAAGTGGAGTGGAAAATAGTTTGTTTTTTTAATTTCCATGTTTAAAAACAGGAAAAAAGAAGAAGAAGAATAAAAAAGGAAAAGAAAATCCAGCTTGCATGTTTTCCATACTCTTCAGAGGGAAACAGATATTTTGCAAAGACATACTATTGTCTGCAGACTTTTTGGTCAGTAGGTGGTGATTTCATTCCTGCTGATCTCTAGTCTGGACCAGGTTAGCTTTGCAGCATATTTTACCCAGTAAGAAAATGAAAATCGAATTACTTGATGAATTGTTGCAGCCCTAAATTCTAACAGCTGTAATCCTTTCAGTTTATGCATTTAACCCCCTCATATTTTTCAAATATTACAATTTACACCAATTAAGTGAACACACAGGGAAAACTTTCGGTTAACTTAGCCAGCTGAAAACAAGCTTCACATGACTGCTTAACAACATGATTGCCAGTGTTAGGGTAAGTGAATCCAGATCACTTGAGTATACTGAAGTGGCTTCGTAGTACAGAGCCCTGGCCATGGTTAAGCTCCTCTAGCTGTGAGAAAACTCTGTTCTGATTGGCTGTCCATCATAAAAAGAACAGTGTGGGTTTTGTGTTTACAGCCATGCAACAGGGATCAGCATATTCACTGACATCATATAGCACCAAAAGTACGTAAAAACTCTCTGAAAATGACTATTTTCGCCTTTTGACTCAAATAGATTAGGTGCACATAGATACTATTATCGACTTCATTGTCCAAACGTGTTTGGAGCTTAAAAGTTTAACATTCCTCTTATAGCACTTCTATAATATCAGAATCTCAGCCACACAGTGATAAATTCAAAGTCAGCACGTATAATCCTCCACCATCCTCAGGCAAACGCACATTATTAAGTCCAGCAATCTATTCTCTTTTACCCAAATATGTCTCTTCATATTCAAATTCTCAACAAAAACAGCCTAACTAGCACGTCTATTTAAAATATATTAAAACAAAGTAGAACAATTCTTTATCTCGGACATTACAGAAAGCCGCTAAAATAATGCCAAAGCTTAAGCGAAAGGAGCATTTTTAGCTTCATTAACGGGTTATGATGTAACTTAGCATCATGCTAGCTGCTAATTAACGGTGACGAGGACGTAGAGAATTTCTAAACCCGCAGGGATGAGCGGAAACGTCAGGTGGGAGACAGTGGGTGTATCGGTGCTGCTGCAGTCTGTTCGCGTTAAACTCCACATTAGCGACACTGTAAGCGTTTATTTAAAACGTGTTACCTCTGAACCCGACTCCAGGTTCTGCACCTCGACATGTGAGTCGCCATCCTGGATCCTCTGTGACGGAGATCAACCCGGATGACGACGAAAGCTACTCGAAGCACTTCCGCTTTCAACCAGCTGACGGTTGTTGAACATGCAGCCCAGGGGCCAAAACCACACGATGTTACTGAATAATAAGAACATCACAGTGAAGTCATTAATAATTATTTAATAATCAGTTATAATTGCTAAATAAAAAACACTGCAATTTCAGCTACGGGGGACAAACACATGTTTTAGGTTATTGCCATCCAAGTACATGACCCGTCCATTACCTCCTCAGTGTGGTGAAGTCACCCTGCAACCTTAACAGAAAAACAGCCCCGAAGCGTCATGTTTCCACCTCTGTGCTTGAGTGTGGGGATGGTGTGCTTTGGAAAATATTAAGCATTTCTCTTCCTCCAAACACGACAGGTCAAGCTGATGCCAGATAGTTTCATTTCACTACAAAACTTTCTTCCATGCTTTCTCTAAATCCTTTAGGTGTTCATTAAGTGTTTGTTGGGAAACTTAAGATTACCCTGTATATGTCCCTTCTTGGGCAGGTAGACCTTTGGTTGATATTCTGTTTTTCTCCATTAAAATGAAACAACCATAAAAATTACACTTAAAAATTCAACAAACTCAAATCAACATTGAGCAGAAATCCATTTTGAAAATTTATAGCACACCCCTGATCTAGAAGATTGACAGTACCTGTCTGGGGAGATAGTAACCCAGATTATTTTTTCTCTATGTACATTTTATAGATGTTCTGTAAATGCATCACACACAGGCAGTCATAAAGCAGAGTTTTGAAAACAGAACAGCTCCAAGTGTCGGCCGCCTCACAGGGCAGTCACAGCTGGCAGATCTGGGGTTGCAGCTTTCTCAAGAATTATCCATCCATCCATCCATTTTATGACAGCCTATCCATTGTCTTCCACTGGGTAGCAGCCAGAGGATGCACCACCCACCTCCTCCAGCTTGTCCAGGGGAACACCATGGTGTTCCCAGGCCAGCCAGGAGATATAGTCTGTGTGCCCTGGGCCTATCCCGATGGGACATGCTAAGAACACCTCAACTAGAGGTGTCCAAGAGGCATCCTAGTCAGAAGCCTGAAACACCTCAACTGGCTCCTATCGATGTGGAGGAATAGTGGCTCTACTCTGAGCCCCGTCTGGCTGGCCGAACTCACCTTATCTCTAAAGGAGAGAGTCCAGCCACACATCAGTGGCACGAGAAAGCTCATTTTGCTGCTCGTATCTGCGATCTCGTTCTTCGGTCACTACACAAAGCTTGATTTACCATTTGATTTACCATCAAATGGTAACTCGAGAGCTTCACTTTTACGCTCAGCCCTCTCTTTTCCATGATGGGCTGGTACAGCGTCCGCATCATTGCAGCTGCAGCACAAGCCGTCAGTTAATTTCACACTCCACTCTCCCCTCACTTGTGAACAAAACCCCGAGATACTTAAACTCCTCCATTTGGGGCAATAACTCGAACCTTTTCCAGCTGAGGACCATGGCATCAGACTCAAAGGTTCTGATTCTCATTCCTGCAGCTTCACGCTCAGCTGTGAACCACTCCAGTGCAAGCTGGAGGCCACAACCTGATGAAGCCAACAGAACCACATCAGGTGAGAAAAGCAGAGACGAGATTTGGAGACCACCCAAGTGGAAGCCTTCCGCCACTTGGTTACGTCTAAAAATTCTGCCCATAAAAATTAGAAACACAATTGGTGACAAAGGGCAGCCCTGGCAGAGTCCAACACCCACCAGGAACACGTCCAACTTATTGCCACTGCCTGGGCAGTGTTCCGCTTGGCCTGTTGGTATATATCGGCTGCCTGCGAAGTTCTGCAGGCTAACCAAGCCCAATAGGACTCGTTCTTCAGCCTGATGGTTCCCTTTACCTCTGGTGTCCACCATCTGGTTTGGGGGTTACCCCCAGGACAGGCATCAACCACCTTGTGGCCACAGCTCAGTGCAGCGTACCTAAATAGCATAAGTAAATAAAAAGTATTTTATTTATTTACAGGAAACCAAAAGCAACAAATACATAAATAAATAATCATTTGAGAACCAGTTTAGTTTTAGGCAAGCAAAGTAATGAAGAATTGTGAAAGAATTGTCTTTTTGGGGTGAAGGGACAAGTTAAAATTAAATTTATGTTAGGGTAAGATAAAGGGTTGGGCACTTAGCTGTAAAAGTTACAAATATAGCTAATGAGAATCCACAAATCTCACAAAGATAGCCAAATAAAGGAAGACACATTTAAAAGACCCCAAGAATACACTTGCCAAGTTTAAAGTGGATGGGACGAACTGTCATATAGACACAGAGATTTGTCTGACTATTAGTAGGATTAAGGAGATAACTACTTACTGACTTAATTTCTTCAGTGCACTGCTCAAATTCACAGGTGCTTTTTGTTTTTGTTTTTTTTGTTTGTTTGTTTTTTTTTGTTTTAGGATGAAGGTTTATTAACTCCAAACCAGCTCTATCCGTGTCTGTAATTTGGGCTCTAAGATCCAAAACAGAACAATTGATCCATTTGAGTGGGTAAGCGGGCCAAGAGCATTTAACTACCCATCAGTGAATCAATTCTGACACAGAAACAAGTCAGCTCCTCAATAACATTAACACTTCCACCTGACTTTAAAGCACTCTGCAGCTGAAGAGAGATTCAGCAGGACTGTGACCAGCAACAGCACATTTATTATTTGCCACAATGTTCTCCATTATGCATGTCACCGCAGTGCTTTGGATAATTTCTCTGTTTTCACACTCCGGCTCAGCTTACGAGCTCCAGGATACCATCCACACTCTGAAAGAAGAAAACCTCCACCTGCAGCACCAACTGGAGAACCTCACCAGGGCTCTCAGGGATTTGAAACATCTTCTGATTGAGCACTCCAAAGGTAAAAACAGAGCTTTCTTGTTACAAGTGGATAGAGTTTCAAAAATACAAAGTCTTAATAGATACTTTTATCAAATTTGAATATAGCTACTGGTGGGGAGCATGACCCTGAATATCTGCACGCCTGGAAGGAGTGGTCCCAACATGGTGAGCTCTCCAATTCTGGTTTTCAGAGCAGACTTTGTTGTAGCACTTAGTTGTCTCTATCCCAACAAAAAAACTCTGTACTGTGTCCTTTAGGGATAAGTGCTGAGACCCACCAAATGCTGGAGCAGGCCCTGTGTTTAAACGAGCTCCATGATGCAGCGGATCACATCTTCATCACTCCGGTTTTCCTCCTCCTCTCACCTGTTATGTTTCTGGCACTGCTGTCATGACTTTGACCAACAACCCAACAAACATATTAAACTTTCACACAGATATGACACCTTATAATAAGAAAATTGTCCTACATTAAAGTTCAGGATCAAAAATCAGATTGACTTTTACCTCTTCAGTAAATGTTTTTCCCTTCATGTTATCTGATTAATTCTGATGTAAAATCATCAGTTAAAAATAAACATGGAATTCATCTTGTAGCTCTGTGTGCTTTAATTTCCTCTGTTTCTCACTCTAATGAAACTCTGGATCACAGTCAAGATGTTTGATAATAAAAGACATCATCTTCTGTGAGATAATGTTGCATCAAATATTCTTTAAGAACTTGGCTTTCAGATCTAAAATTGGACATAAATGAAATAAAGGCAGCCCTTGAGGATATATATGAATGCCTTGTACTAAGATGAATGGACAAATGACCATCTTATTCAACAACCTACACACATCTGCAGATTTACTCAGCTCAGGCTTTAACGACCAAAACAAAAGTCAAATGACGAAAAAAGGGATACCATGGTAACACAGTTAATGCAGCATAAAAATGATAAGATAAATTTTGATAGATCTAATTTTAGATCTATCTACTGGGTCACACCCCTTTTGGCCTTAGATAAATCTAAAGATTTTAGTTTTAAGGTCATATTTCATCCTCCTGTATTTTTATAGAGAAGCAGAGAAAGGGTACTGCACAGGTTGTATTTATTTATTGGTATATTTATTGTGCTTACAAACAGAAAATTACTTAAGAATGATGTGGAAATTTGTTTGGAAAACATTTTAGACTAGATACAATCCCCTGCAATGAGTGGTATTTATTTTCTTGCAAATCTAATTGTCATTTGTTTGTGCTATTGTGCCCTTTTGTGTTTTGCAAAACAGTAACTTATGCACTGAAACAATATGGTTTATTATGCAGGTAAAATGTGTTGTGAAATGTAATGTGATGTTCTATAGTTGTACTAAATGTAAAAATTATATTAAAAAAAATATTAGAATTAATATGTATACAATGCAAATTCTATATCTTGTTTGTGCAGACATGCAGTTTGGAAAGAAGAAATCCATCATCCTTCAGTCCTAAGGAAATACAATATATACAATACTTAAGTCAATAGCTCATGTATCAATATGTCATCACTTCAACTGTTATCAACATTTTTGCTCAGTGTTGAGCAAAGTCAGAGTGTCTTTTAGAATCTACATTAAACACAGTTCTGCCACAGTGGGAAAACTGGGACTATGAGAGTCTTTGGTGGATTTATGTGTTTGATGTTGTCCTGAATCCAACAGTGTTACATTTCACCCGCTACGTCTGCTTTGTCTGCTTAATTAAAATGACCCCTCCTGCATAGATTATAAATCGGTGCATTTGTACTTTCATTTCCATTTGATTATGCTGAATGGATTGCCAATTTACATTTGCAAGGACTTCATCTGGACCCAGGATTTGGCTGTAGACATGTCCTTGTGAATAAATGAGACAGAAGCCACCATATGGACAGTTTCTGTGTTGTTCTCCTTTTTCAATATAAAATATTGGTCACTTTGTGGATTAGGCAACATTAATAGTCTAAAGCTATGTTAGCAACTCTTAAGACATAAGTATCCTTTCAGGCTACTTATTCTTTTAAGTTTGAGGTTTAGTTGTTCACCACCCTAGTTTGGCCTGTTAGCATGCTAATTAGCACCAAATTTAAAGCTAAGGGTGATGAAAATGCATTTCCTGACGTATACCACTAAAAACATCAGGCAAATTCAAGGGATTACACACATAGTTAGGACTCAATTCC